TACCAAATCAAATTTTTACGGTCTTTGTTTAAACTAGAGATTCAATAAATCTTAATCTCCACGTCTACATTGCTTTAATTGTAATATGTGATGTATACAAGATTTAGATAGAGTTATCACATATCTCCCATAAATTAATGACTTTATTTTTTTCTAAATTTCAAAATACCAAATTTTAAAGTTGCGATTGATTTAAATATTAAATGATATTTTGCAATCATAGATTCTGGTTATCTATAAACTCAAAATATAAATTGCCGATATGTAGATATGGACATATTAAATACATATGATCCCTAAAATGAAGGATGTTATTCCATTAGAAAACATAAAGTATGAACTTAAGATGTAAATTTATCATGCACGTGTGATAATTCGATTTTACATGCTATTAAAGTCATATTGTTTGTCCGTGCATTGCACGGGATACGCACTAGTATAGTGTGAAATTACAAACAAGTTTGATGGGACTAAATTTATAGTAATAATTAAAAAAAAGAACATTTCACATCTTACTAAAACAATATAATCAAATTCGATGTAATTGAATATAAAAACATTTCACATCTTTTGATTATGTTGATCGGCACACTATTCTGTTTACAGGTTGAATTATCGAAAACATACATGGTTATCGTACATTAATATTCTAGTTATAATATTATCAAATCTAACAATTGGAATTTTGTCAATACATAATTTGGTAAATTAGTTGGTGAGCGAATTTAACATAATAGATTAAGGAGTGTATTCATTTAGAATTTTGAGTAACATTTTAACACTTTAAGAAAATTATAGATTTATTAATATATGGTTTTTATCTTTGAAACCAGTAAGTCTTGGAAAATTCAGACAAATTCAAATAAAAAATAAATTTGAAAACCTCATGATTTTTAACATTTTTTGAAAATGTCAAATGAGTAGCTCAGGAATTCCAAGGGGGCGAAAGGATAAAGGTTTTGATTGGATTTTAAGTTAAAAGTGAGTTAAGTTTAAATAAAGTTGATTGAATAGATGATTGGTGACATTTTACGTTTTTATTTAAATATATAAAATATACTGATTAAAATTGATGCAGTGTAAAAGAATGAGAGATGTTATTGGTAATGATAGATATTTAAAAATATGTGAGTGAATGAATAGTGAATTAATGTCGATGTGTGTGTGAGAATAATTAATTGATATTATTCCATTATGTTGATAATATTGACGAGAGTTGAGTTTGATTAAATTTGAGTTAAATTTTGAGTTAAAGAGTATAAAATAATTCTGATTGGTCAAAACCAGTTTTAATTTGTACTCAGTCGCGCTCTAAGAGTTTGGAAAATTCAACTTACATACATCAAGATTCTTAGGAGGCGATTGGATATAAATCAAAATTGATTTTGATGGGATTTTGAATCAAAATGGGTTAATTTTAAATAAAGTTTGTTGTGCGAATTATTGAGTATTTTAAATAATATTTAAAATATAATAATTAAATTTAATGTGATGAAAAAACATGAGAGAGATTATTAGTAATAATATACAGTTAATAATATATAATCAGATCATTAATAGTGAATTAAAGTTGATGTGATGCGTGAGGCTAATTAATTTATATTATTTAATTATATTGATAACATTGAAGAGAATCATGTTGAGTTAAACCTAATCTAAAGAGTGATCCGACCAGTCAAAACCGATTTTAATCTGTAGTCAATCGCCCCCTCAAAAATCCCGAATGAATACAGTAAAATAATTAAAATCTCAAAGTCTTTAAAAATCAAGAGTGAAATACTCTCCTTAGTTTTATGTTCACAGCGTTAGGTGCAAATGGTGTTGGTTTTTTTTATAATCGTAACGACAAATACTACTATATAAACTCAAAGTGTGTACAATGGGTAAACAAATGGTAACAAACATAATTTCTAATTGTCAAGAGACA